AATGGTAAATTGGTAATGCTAAGATTAGAATATTTTGAGTCGGTGTTTCTATTTGAAAAGTTTGGGATCCAAGCTGCAAATTTCCTTTTCAAAAGTTCAAAATTTTACCAAAACAATTATCAGCATATACGACTCCGCTGGGGATCGAACCCAGAATCTCTGGTTCCGTAGACCAGCGCCTTATCCATTGGGCCACGGAGTCGCTTGTCGATTCTGTTTCTTTACTTATTATGTTGACTAAAGAAGGGTTGTTTTCATCCGCCACTTCTTAATTTTGTTAAAACTTCAAAATGTTAATCGAAAAGATTTTTTAGGCTAGTAATTACTCAAGTTTCTAAAAGTTGCATTAGTCGTCACTCGGTTGAACAATGTTAACCTAAAACATTTATGTTACTATTAAACTCGAATGTGAATACAAATCGTATTAACTATTACACTGCGTCAAACAAAGCCGCATTGATTATAACTAAAAGCGTAATTGTCAAACATTATTTTTTATTTTTGTTTTTCATATTTGTTCAATTTTAATAAGCAGCTAGTTGGTGTCACTTCACATTTTTGTTGGCAATTTTTGTATGGTTGGCTTTTAAGTCTCGGGCGACATATAGTTGACGTTATCTGTTTTTGTGTTAGAATTATTCAATGACACGTAAAATATAATATTAAATTTTTAGCTGAGTGCTCGATAGTATAATATTTTAAATTTTGTGCGACTATTATTGTTTAACAAATTTTAGTGACCATTACTAAAATTAACCCTAAAACATAAATACTTATGATGCATCAATAAAGATACGTATGTTCAACATGTTACGAGATGGATACATCGATATGCAACTTCGAAAAAGTTAGGGCGCCAATACTTCTCATGCAAATTGATTAATTAATTCATTTATTTTTTTTAACTTATAGTGTAAAAAATGAAAATTTTCTATGCTGATTGCCTAAAAACAAATAGTCAAATATAAAAATGTGAAGCTAGAGTAAATTCATTGAGGGTTAAAATAGTAATTTTGCTTGTTAGGGTTGATCCAATAGGAAACTATTCTCATTTTAAGAAACTGTTCTCTTCGTATTTCAATTTTGAGTTTTAAATTCATTTTGAATTTTGTGTTTTGAATGTCCATTTTGAGATTGTTGAAAACACGTTCTTTTTATTATTTTGAAACATTGGTTTCAAAAGTGAAAAATGAAATTTTGGTTTGGTTTTAACTGAAAATAGTCAAAACGACTTTTTTTTTGGCATTTTTCGTTTCTTTGTAAATTTTAAACTCGTATTTGGAAATTCGTTTATGAAAATAAGTAAGTAAACGTGTTTTCGATATTTTTGAAAACTAAAAAGTCGGCCTAAATACAGCAAAGAGAACAACTTTTGATCCACGTAAAAAAATATTGATCAATTGACCACTTAAAACACACACATTAACCCAATTTTTTGCTCATAAATCGTGGCCACAACTCTTGCCCTCAATCGTGTTCTGCCAGTATGTGAAATAAATTTCATCTTCTCCAAACTAGGGTTTGGCATTCGTCAATATAAAGTCGACTTACCTTTGAAATATTGTCGAATATTGCTTGAATTCATATCAAAGATGGGCACAACCAACGAGATCGACCTTTTATGATTAAATTTTCCATTTTTTTTTAAAAAAATGTGGACACTATATCAGCATCGATCGAAAGTG